GATGTTTGATCGATCGATGTTAGCCGTACACGTGCCATTTATCGGGTATTGCAGTGCTGAAATGCACACGGGCGATCGTCGATATGGGCTTGTCTATGATGTAGAGGTAGCTGGGTTTCGAGTTGTTCAGCTGCGCTGCCGGCCGTGTTGACCTACTGGTCTCTCCTTACCCTTGTCGAGCAGTGTTACCCGGAGCGGGGCAGGTGTCAAACATACATAATGGGACGGGGGACTCGTATCCTGTCTGGGTCGGTCGCCGTCATTGATTCTTGATTGCCGAAATTAGTCGGCGCTTCACTGTCGCGCTGCGGTTGGCAATGGTTTCTCTCTTCGGCTGCCAGTGATGAGGTTACAGGGGGGTCGCGTGCGTGCGTGCGTGCTCTGCGTGTGCGGCGTGTTGCGGTGACGTCACATGCGCATGGGGGCCCACTATGGCGGTGGCCTGGACGTATGTTTGGCGGTATCACGTCTTGCATTCCTGGCTGCTCAGTGGATCGATTCCTCATTAATTTCGTCAGCCGGCGTCACGGCTTCGCTTTTCGCTTTCTTTCGCTCGTGCTACGATTAGACTGCGGTACGCTAATTATCGTTAACGATTCTTTGTTATCAGTCCGATAAATAACTGTGCACATTCACTCCCGTCCAAAGGTGGGAAAATACACCAACATTGTACATGTTTCACACCTGCGAGTGGAGGCGATGGCGCGGCCATGATTGACTGACGTCATCTATAAAAAAATGGGCATTTTCCGCAAGTTTTAGCTATGTCTCTCGCTTGGCATTGAACCGTAAACCTTGCACGTACTAGCGTAGAATAAGAAATCCCGGCGATTTAACTTCAAATGATGCCAAAAAGCTCGGACGGTCGTCGTCCGGCCTCGTCTCTAAACTGTACAGTGTTTTTCCTCGATGCTATTCCGGGAAAGAAGCGTGTATATATACTACATTTGACTATAAATTAATAGCCCTGGCGATACTGTCCGGCGCGGTTATGTGCTGTGATGGTGTTCGCGGGTATTTTAGGGTGATGAAGTTCGGACGGGTGCTAGCGCGTCGCGTTGCCAACAGGCGTGCAGTGGTGCTTCGTGGAACGTATATGTCAGCTACGATAGTAGCGCTCATATTCACCGTCATGACGAGTTCATGTTAATTTGCTGCTGTGTATTCTCGAACATCATAGCCAGCAGCGACAGGTCTTCGCGTTACGATGGTTCAGAGTGTATAATATAGGATATCTTAGTTCATAATGATCAGAGTCCATAATAGAGAATTTTTTATGGGACTCTTTGATAATATTATATACTATATTATATAGATGTATAGATCTATATTTATACGCGCCTGATGTTATTTACCCGTTAGGTCTCTCATGCGTGGACGGGTGTGTTGTATGGTAGCGCGTGCGGGACACATTGTAGGTCGTTCTGTTAAGCTGTGCATCTTTATCTAAGCTTTTCAGGCCGATTGCTGGACACGTTTGCGTCTCGCGCAGCGCGGCCTGCGAAGCGAGGCGTATGTGGCATCACGTATATAGCGACGTTTTCGAGTTGGCCGCCTCGCATATCTGAATATTTTTTAATGCGAAATAAGCGGATGTGTGTGTTTTGGCGCGACGGTATCGACTTGGTGGTTGCGGCATTTTTGCTGCGCGTCATGCTCGCGTGTAACGTGACTCTTGACGGCTTGGCTGTGGTGCACACGGCCGCGCGTCCTTGACTTTTTAATATCGCTTTTTAGATGTGTTGCGGCGCTCGTGCTTGCGTATACCCGTGCGGCGCCCTTGAACTTTCACTGTTCATTTCAACTGATTTTACTATTTCCGGCGTTTTGAATACATCATTTTCTCTCTGCCTGCCGAGTAGTTTGCGAACGTATGTTGTGGAAATAGCCTTCTGAGCGATTCGGTCACCAACGTGGTGGACTGCGACAGGATAGGTTATTGTGTTTAGGTAAATGCATATATAGTTATATAGGTAGTTGCGACTCTGCTTGTACTGGTCACGGTGCAGGACGTTTAGAGTAGTGTTAACTATTTTATCCGTGCCCGCCCCCAGTATTAAATCGACTATAAGATACCGTTATATTTTGCATTATATAGCAGACACCTTTAGAGGTTTATAGGTTGTAGAATCATGAGATTAGGATTCTAATTTTCTTATCGTTCCTGGACGGTTGTTATTCTTACTACGTATATCATCCCAGTATTAGTGTCGGGGAAGTTGAAACATTCTCGTCGTTATACCTCGAAAAGGCAATCGACAGTATATCTCCGGGGTGTTATTACTATATTCATTTATATATCGGTTGGCTATTTTTCTCTCGAGTTTTCAAAAACCCGTGTTGCGCACATAGCCCGTGCTGTTTGCGTGGAAGCGTCGGCGTCCCGTCTGTTTCGTGATGTCGGCGTATGACGTCACGTACCATCTGTTTCGTGACGTCGGTGTATGACGTCACGTACCGTCTGTTTCGTGACGTCGGTGTATGACGTCACGTACCGTCTGTTTCGTGACGTCGGCGTATGACGTCACGTATACCGTCTGTTTCGTGACGTCGGCGTAAGACGTCACGTCGCTGCAGCCACAAGTTTTTAGCTTTTGTAGAGAATTACGTTTACGCGATAACCATTTAGGCACGTCTCGCGTTACGTGTATTGGCGACGTTCGTGTATGCGCGTCTGCTTCCGAGTTGCTGTTGTCGTTTAGGACTTCTGACCCCCTACTGTTGTAGTTGACCTCCATTGACCCCGACAAAGTGCAAGCCGTGTTCCTCTTACCTCCTTTTTCGCTCCCCGTTTCTCTCTCTTTCTCCCTCTACCTCTTCATCTCCTTCTTCTTTTCCTGTGTCTCTCCCTCTTTCACTTCCTTTCCTTCTCACTCTGTGCTACGACAGTCTACGAGGGCAACATATAACCTAGTCGGCGGCGAAGACGCAGAAGTGATGGCATAGTAGGCGACAATTATTGGGCCTTTATTGATCTTATATAAGGTGTTTAGTCGCGACGCGCATGCGGTTGAGGGCTGAGGCCGCGACAGGGGAGGACGCGCAGATGCGAGCGCCATCTGTCTGTGGTTTTCGTAAACTGAGGCAGAAACCATGCCAACTCAACCACAAACCTCCACAGAGCGAGCGGACTGGGTAGCGGTCCACTTCGACATTACAACGTCGGTGTTATGTGTGTGCTCGTTATATCGGAGGAATGTCGGTGGGAAGGCTGGTTGGTTGTAGTTGGGTTTGGGGTTGATGAGCTTTGTGGGCGATACCTTCGGTGCGTTAGTGTACTGTGTATGCTCGCGCAGCGCTCGTGTGTGTCCGCTATAATATATATATATATACCGTAGCTTATAGTATCTTAGTATGTACACGCATCGTTGCCACACGCCATATCCCCTCCCGCGTGTATATTCACAGTAAACACATACACGCTATTATCATCATAATCAAGTCTTATTACTTTTACACATTAAATGTGCTAAACGATGACCCTACCTGATGGCTTCTGTTTTCTTGTTGATATATATAGAGGATAGACGTACGATTATTATTGATTATATTAACTATCGAGATTAACAATATATATACAGTCTACTATATTACGTACACAAAATACGTCTACTTATGACGATTAATATGACCAATTATACTATTAATATAATCTAGTCTACTACAACTATATATATATGTATATAGGATAGACGTACGATTATTATTGATTATATTGATTATTGATAATATATATATACAGTCTACTTATTACGATTCTGCCTAAAATTTTCGAGCACCCTCACCGAGACGCGATCGCCCGACCTGCGCCTCGGGGGTTTTTTCGGCCCGTGGAAGCAGCCCGCACGACGCGGACGCTACCAAACGCGCCATGTAGGCAAGCGCCGAGATTCTAAGATCGGATGTCGGTGACGAACCTAGGCAGCACGTGACACAAAAAGAAGTCGTAGAGAACATACATAGACGGCAACGACGTTCGCGAATAAAACAATCTCCCAGGTGTGTAGCGGCGGCGTACATAGCGACGCTATTTGTGTACGCAAGCGCGACAGTCCACGAAGCAGCACCTTGTATACATTGTAACTACATATATAAAGGATAGATGTACAACTACATATATAAAGGATACGGGTGTGTGTATGGTAGCGCGTGGGGACACATTGTAAGGTCGTTCTAAGCTTGCATCTTTATATAAGCTTCACCGATTGCTGGACCACGTGCGCGCGTGCGTGCGAAGCGAGGCGTATGTGTATCACCAGGAGTTAATAAAGACAAACTTTGTCTTTATTAACTCCTGGTATCACGTATATAGCGAGTTTTCGATGGCCGCTCGCAATATCTGAATCTTTTTAATGGAAAAGGGATGTGTTGTTTTGCGCACGGTATCCGATGTGGTTCGGATTTTTGCTGCGTCATCCTCGCGAGTAAGTGACTCTTGACGGCTTGGCTGTGTGCACACGCGCGCGTCCTTGACTAGTATATCGCTTTTAGATGTGTGCGCGCGTGCTTGCGTATACGTGCGGGCCCTTAACTTTCACTGTTTTTCAACTGATTTCACTATTCCGGTTTTGAATACATCATTTTCTCTCTGCCTGCCGCGTATTTGGAAAGTATGTGGAAATAGCTTCTAGCGATTGGTACCAACGTGGTGGACTGCGACAGATAGTTATTAGAGTTAGGTGAATGCATATATATATATATAGGTATTGCGACTCTGTTGCGGTCACAGTTTATATAGTTTAACTATTTTATCCTATTAAATCGACTATAAATACCGTTATATTTGATTATATAGCAGACACCTTTAAGGTTTATAGTTGTAGAATCATGAGATTAAGATTCTAATTTTCTATCGTTTCTTGACGTTGTTATCTTACTACGTATATATCCCCAGTATTAGTGGGAAATTGAACATTCTCGTCGTTATACCTCGAAGCAAATCGACATATTTCTCGATGTTATTATATATCATTTATATATCGGTTGCTATTTCTCTCGGTTCAACCGTCGCCACTACCCGTCTGTTTCGTGACGTCGGCGTCCCGTCTGTTTCGTGACGTCGGCGTCCCGTCTGTTTCGTGACGTCGGCGAACCGTCTGTTTCGTGACGTCGGCGTCCCGTCTGTTTCGTGACGTCGGCGAACCGTCTGTTTCGTGAC